CCTACAAAGGCACATATTTATACAACACATACACACACACGCAGGCGCGCACTCACACACACACACACACACACATACAAAACAAATACATAATCAACTACACAAACTGGATACGAGACACAAATAGTAATATAAGAAATGTAAACCAAATGTGACATATAAGTTGTAAATAAATAAACTAACTGTATATGTTTGTTATAAAGTTATAAAAAAAAAATTATAAGACATTGTTAGACCGTTTATTCTAAGTGATTCTTTCTTCAATGCGCTGCTAAGCAACCAATGATATTTTGCAATGTTAGTTACCGCGTCGTTTCAATCACCGCTTCGGTTGCTACGGCCAAGTGGAGGGGAAAACAGCAATAGAGGAGAAATTTGGTAGTTGACCTTAACGGCGCTCTGATTGGTCGAAATTATTAATTTCTGAAATTAATTTTTTCGGAAAGTACGAGGGTGTCCGATAAGTACTTAGCCTACAAAAGAAAAACGAACATTTTGGAAAAGTGGCGTTTTATTTTTCAACATAGTCTCCTTTTAGTTCGATACACTTGGCCCAGCGATGTCTGAAAAGTAGGCTTCCATGGCAGCGATTACCTTCTCATTCGACTTAAATTTCTGCCCGACGAGTGACTTTTTCAAGTTTGGAAATAAAAAGAAGTCGCACGGGGCTAAATCTGGAGAATACGGTGGATGGGGCAGCAGTTCGTAGCCTAATTCGACCAATTTGGCCATGGCGACGGCGGAGGTGTGAGCCGGTGCGTTGTCATGGTGGAAGAGCACTTTTTTCTTCGCCAAATGGGGCCGTTTTTTCTGCAATTCGACGTTGAATCGGCCCAATAATTCGGCATAGTACAGCCCTGTGACCGTTTTGTCCCTGTCCAGGTAGTCGATGTAGATCACACCTTGTGAATCCCAGAAAACGGTGGTCATCACCTTTCCGGCCGATGGGGCAGTCTTCGCCTTCTTCGGAACACTTTCGCCGGGTAAAGTCCACTGTTTTGTAACAAAACTCTATCCTTTGTTACCAATTCTTTTACGGGGTAAGTGAGGCACTTTCGCTCATGACAATTGAGGGAGAAGAACTAGGGGAGGTTGATAAATAAATTATACAAAGACAGGAATCAAATCTCACTTACAACCTATTATTATTAATAATTATTCACACTGAACATACGCGCGCAACACATAATCTAAATTACCGACCAACAAACTGCAAATAGAACAATAAACTACTTAAGATAATCACAAATGAACATTTCGCATTTCACTAATACCTAATCGCGTACTTAACCTATTACAAACTTACTTAAAAACTACGCGAACTAATACCGGGTAAATTGCCCGGCACGTGGGCGCCTGGACAATTCACCGGTCGCAGCTTACGTCACTATGAATTAAACCTAGCGCGAACCTTCAGATAGCCGGCACGTGAGTGCCAGGCTATCTCTTTCAACGCGCACCGGTCGTCGCATCAACAGAGAGAGAGAATGTAGAGAGAAAGAAGAAAAGGAAGGCTTGACCTTTTATCTCCTGTTCCTCGCAACGTCGAGAATCCTGAGCGATGCGCTGCCGCAGGAAGTACCGGGTGTCGTCGCTGGTCAGATCGTCGCTAACCACTGTCACTGACCAGGTATCCGTAGGCGACGTTGACTTTCCTAGCAGGTGGGCTGGCTGCAGTTGCTGACAGAGCCGTTGCCGGTAGGGTTGATCTTCCTTCCTTCCGGCTATCCCAAACTGCTCTCTCTGCTAGGCTCGGCCTTCCGCACTCTAGTAGGACTAGGCTTCGACTCCCCCACTCTAGTAGGACTCGGCTGCGACTCTCTCACGCACTAATTCTTGCGCTCGTCCTGCAGCCGCTCAGCGGCGCTCGCTCCTCTCCCTACCTTGACCTATTAGTTAGGCGGCACGCGACGCGTCGCTTATCGGTCACGCGTTGCGCGCCTGCCAATCCCTGCATGGGCCTAATACTCTCTCTCTCTCTCTCTTTTTCTCACTCTCTCTCCGCGCTCCTCAACTTTTCTTGCGCTCAACTGCGCTGGCCCGTCCTTGGCGCTGAAACAAAAGACCAAATGTTAGGCGCATACTTAAATGCGCCCAACGTTGGCCATCACGCCTAGCCGAGTGGGGGAGGGAGAAACGCGGACGAGAGACCGGCACACGGCCTGCTCTCGTCACAGTTTTAACTGTTCCTTGGTCTCTGGTGTATACCAGTGGATCCATGTTTCGTCGACTGTCACGAAACGACGCAGAAACTCCTTCGGATTGAGCTTAAACAGCGTCAGACATTGCTCTGAAGTTGTCTCACGGTTGCGCTTGTTATCCGGAGTGAGCAAACGCGGCACCCATCGCGCCGACAGCTTTCTCATGCCCAAAATTTCATGCAGGACATGAACCACGCGGTCTTTTGAGATGCCTACGATCTTAGCTATCTCGCGCACCTTCAATCGTCGATCTGCCAATACGAGATCGTGAATTTTTGTCACGTTATCCTCCGTGGTAGCCGTTTTCGGAGCACCTGGACGTGGCTCTTCAAAAATCGACGTATGACGACGTTGAAACTCGTTAAACCAATTTTTGACGGTCGCCATCGAAGGAGAAGAGTCACCGTACACAGCATCCAAGCGCTTTTTGATTTCGCTGCGCGATTTCCTTTCCAAAAACAAGAATCGAATCACCGACCATACTGCTCTTTTTCCATTTTTCAGAAATCAACGCATACACTTGCTTTCACACACTCTCAAAAATAAACTACAACTCTGAATCTTGACAGTAACCATCGAGAAGGTTGTACTACGTGATAGAATATTTCTTTTGCGTGAGTGGCGCCATCGGGTGCTGAGGCTAAGTACTTATCGGACCACCCTCGTATTGACGATAAACATTTTTTGAAAACGGCATTCGATTCAGAAACATTTTTTCTACAGCCCATTTTCGGGAACTATAATCCTTCTGAATCACCCTATATATATATACTTCACCATATATATTTCACCATGTATGTTTATGTATTATATATATATATATATATAAAATAAATTGAAGCGGAACTAGTGTGAATTAAAAATATTTATCTTTTTAAATGGATTTAGAGGCAGTTTTATGTGATTTCCCAGGTTCAAACTTTGTTCATTTCTTATATGCAGGATAGTCAACCATTATATGTAAAAAATAAAAATATATTGTACCTAATAACAAATGACAGCAAAAACTGGTTAATTTCGCCGGTTGTCCTGTTTCAGTCCATTTAGGTGGTAGTTCTGTGTGGTTCTGGTCGCTCAAACTTGGTTCACATTATTATTACATGATAATAAATGATCATATGCAAATAAAAAAAAATTTAGTGGCTAATAAGAAATGGGAGCGTAAAAACTGTAAATTTCCTTGATTGCATTTATTATTAAGTTAATGTTTTGTCGCGGAACGACTAAGCTATCATGCCTTAGGTGGCATGATGCCTTTATCTTCTTCTGAACCCTTTGATTCGTTACACACTTGCTATTAATGATTGAAGTGGGGGGAGGTGGTGAAAATTATTTACACTTGCTTAATGGGAAAAAGCCGTCTGGCATAAAAAACCCATGATTTATTGCAATCTTAACAACACTGAACTGACACAAAGAGCAAATTACGTATAAAACGAAGATTCCGTACTTGAAGGAATAACAAAGGAAAGAAAGAAAGAGCGAATGGTACAAATGATGTCGCGTGCTCACACACACACACACACACACCGCACTGCACACTGATGAATAATATATTGTGGTCGAGAGAAATCTCAGACACGCAATTTTGATATGAAGGTGTACTCAATACACCCAAAATGAATTGAATGTTTGATTAGCGCCTCAAACGCCGAACGGCTAATGAGTGTGATGCAACACGTGGTGACTTATTGATTTAAGATTAACTTATTAAAACTAACACTTGATTTAAGGTGCGCAATACGTTGTTTTGCGTCTTAACTATTCTGATAAGGGGCGCGAAGGCAACACTATGAACTTACTTTAAAGAAAACTAACCGCTTACTGCGCACGTGTTCACGAGCTGGAAGCCGGAACAGTGACCTTTCGCTACACTGCCTGGCAACCGCGCGGCGAGCCAGCAATTAGCCGCGTCCGGCATGTGCTGCCGCCACGAGGCGCCGCAATCACTCTCATACACTCATACAAATAAAATATTGACGTGTGACGACGGAACAGTTAAGTTAAGGGTAGTTGCATGTCATTTCGCGCGCTCAAACTGCGTACAATACCTCTTTTCATGACAGTCAACAATTATATGCCAAAATATTAGAAAATTTAGTAGCTAATAACAAATGGGAGTAAAACATATCAATTCTGCTTATTCACCTATTTCAATAAATGTTGGGGTGATTCGGGGTAGTTCCGGGCGCTTACAGTTTTTACTCGTGTTTTTACATAAAAATAAATAATTATGGTTAAAAATTATTATTTTATATCGAATAATACATGAAAATATTCGACATTGTCAAAATTTTTAAGAGTAGTTTACAGAGGGTGGTAGATTAATCTAAAAGTTTTTTTTGATTATTTATTATTATTGGAATGCATTTTAGCAATTAATTTTGATTAGAATGCATTTTCTGAAATTTAGATTTATTCGTTCAAGTTAAACGTTCCGAACCTTTAAACTCATTGATTTCCGGGCTTTAATTCAGTGTTACACATATAACACTAATTTAGTATTTTCAAAAAAAAATTGATCTTTCAAGTGATGTTCGATAAACAGCACTAAAATGTATTTATTAAAAATTTGAAAAATAAATCCAATATTACAGTATTCGGTCAATGGACCTTCCATATCTTTGATTGTCATAAAATCATGTTTTTTGTATTAATTTAATACATCAACGTCATTTTTACTAATCGAAAATATCATTAAAACACTCTATTTGAATATCTCAAATATGTAAACATGAAAACACTTATAATATTCATGTTCAGATTGGTTTTAAACTTTTGACTTATTATTTTTTACAGAGGGATGCTTTAAATTTGGAACCAAGTAATGTCGCTAACTGCGTATCAAAAGGCAAATCGGAGGTACGTTATATCGAATTTCATATGTTACAGATTAGTAATTATTAGCCTTATTTCCTTCTTTTATTATTGAATTAATTATTTTCAACACTCAAATGAAATGATTGCGATTGAATTGTTTAACGAATCATATAAAGTAATACAAACGCAAATTATTTTTTAGCCCTGGAATGGATTTTTTGCAAAATTTGTAACGCAAAAAAGACTAATTGCAGAAAATATTATTACCTTGAAGTTTTTATGGGTAAAATTTAGGCGTAAAATGTTAAATAAATAATACGTCACTATTCTAGATATGTATTATTTCTTAAAAAGCAACATTCTCGATATAAAATCGAATGCAGATTATTGAAATATTTTCCTAATATTCATTTTCTCTATAGTATTATTGCATATAGACTATAATGGAATTAGTTGTATTATTGGCTGAATGGTTATTCACCTAAAAACGTAGAAAAGAAATGGTAAAGGAGGTACTGATACTATAAGTAATGTTATCGCATTTTGTATGCTATGTGTCTCCGTATGAATGCATGACAATTTATGGTGACATACAATAGCAGCATTTGCTGGATAAGGTTTGTTTGTCACGCATGTGATTACATAGTGTTCGAAAAAGATTTTACTTGCGTACAAGCACGTTTCATATTTTTATTCTTTAAATTTCTGGTCATCGAGGTCCCTCAGTGACAGCAAGACATAAAATGCGTTGCACAACCCTCGTTTACTAATAGTATATTACCTAGCTAGTGCGGAAAGTATGTGAGCCCCGCACGCGTGAAGGTTGCCGTCCGAACGCAACGAGGACAATAATGCACGTTCTTGCTCACCCGCTTTACGCATGTGTTAGGTATACTATTTTTCCTAACTAGTCGCGGAAAGTGCACCGCAGGATAGGTGCACCTCCCTTTATTATTGCGTGACAAAATACATTCGAAGATATTTTGTCAACCGCGATATCGAATTTTTTATATTCGCACCGAGCGTTAGTTTCGCGGTAATTTTCGAATCTCCCCTCTCTCTCTCTCTCTCTCTCTCTCTCTCTCTCTCTCTCTCTCTCTCTCTCTCACGGAATAATAATAATTCATTTTAAATCCTATTCGCGTGCGTTAGTCTTTCGGCCCATAAAAGACTGTAGTTTTTACTAATTAAAGTTAGTTAATTTTATTCGCCGATTGTGTCATTTCATTTCCTATTAGCTTAAGCGATTTATAAAGGCTTAGGTTTTAATCCAATTTCATCTAGGGGATTAAAAGGAATAGGCATAAAGTCACTCATACCTAAGATACATCGAGTGTCACAAGTAAAGTAACTTAAAGTGAGTTCAACTCAGCTAAAAAGAAGATACCAAAACGAAATCATCTGACGTAAAAGCGGATACACGTACAACTATACGTGTTTAACGGAGCGACGGTTAGCTCTGCATCGTCGGAGTTTGTGTTTAAATAAATTTTTCATTTTGTTATATAACCTCCCCCGTTACATGGCGCCCAACTGGTATTAAGACCCATTTCGTGCGAATAGGATTGGGCGTCGAAGGTAATCGACGCACGAGAAAGAGAAACGATTGCGCAAGCGCTTTAGGAAGGTTTGAGCGGGTGGTAGCGCGAGATCGTGAGCGGTACGCCCTCTGCAGGAAAAAAAAACGAAATCACTACGACCTTTTTTGCTTATAAAGTGTTAAGTTTGTTGCAAAAAGGGCCGAAAGCGGTAGTTATTAGTAAGTCAAAGTGATTTCAGATCGTTTTGAATAATCAGGTGTTAAGCATTTGAGCCATAGTTTGGTGGATAAAGGGGGGTTGGAGGCACCTGAACAACGATAAAAGCAGAGAGCGCGACACAAGCGTGCAGTCTAGGAAATATTAGCCAGGCGGAGCAAGCAAACAGCAGGCTCCGACCTTAGGTAGGATATTTTATAATATTCGACGTCGCAGCAGCGGAAGGAAAAAAGCCGAAAAGCACGACGAAGGGAGGAAAAGATGCGACTCGTGGATATGACCCAGAGGATGATATCAGGTGGTGGTTACAGGTAGACATAGGTCATTTTAAAATTTGAGTACTCTATGATACCGGCGCCTCATCCACGGTCATGGGTTAATTAAGACTAAGATTGGCATCGGAGATGGGACTCGGATTGAATGTGGCCAGAGCGGGCGATGCAAGGCTCGCTGCTGGGCGCCCATGCCCTATAATTGGTCACGTGATGTTCCCCTTTACAGTAGGAGGAATCACGAAGGAAATCAGAGTCGCCATTACGCCACTGCTCACGGAAGACTGCTACGTAGGCGCGAACTTTATAAGAGAGTTCCGCGCAGTTTCGATCCCGATGAGGATGAATTGTGGCTTAAGGACGCCCAGGTGAAAGTACCAATGGAAGTGGCTGGAATTGATGGTACGGCATTTCTCGCACCGGTAGGACTGTGGGAGGCAACGGAGACACAGCTGGAGGAAATAGAAGACCTCGTTAGAAGATTGATTCCTGACGGAGGTCAGGCTTTAGGCTGTGCCGTGGGGGTTGAGCACGAAATAGATGTTGGAGGTGTTTGACCCATCAAACAGAAGTACTACCCAGTTTCTGAAAGAGTGCGAGAGAAAATGCACGCGCTGGTCAAAGATATGCTGGAAAAAGATGTAATCGAACCAGCGACCAGCGGATGGTCAGGTCCAATAGTAATGGTAAAGAAGACTGATGGAAAATATAGATTTTGCGTGAATTATCAAAAGGTAAATGCAATTACCAAACCTGATGCCTATCCTTTGCCATATGTGAACGACATCCCAAGACGGATAAGAGATGCAAAGTTCATATCTACGCTGGACTTGAGCAGTGCGTACCATCAGATTCCCCTAAAGGAAGAATCGCGTCCGATATCAGCGTTTACAGTACCTGGATTAGGGCACTTTCAATTCAAAAAAATGCCCTTCGGACTATCATACGCAGGGGCGACCTTCCATAGGTTGATGGACAAATTGATAGGCCCGGATATTGATCCATTCGCTTTTGCTTACCTCGACGACGTAATTGTGGTTTCGTCGTCCTTGGAAGAGCATAAGCGGCACCTAGAAATGGTATTAAAGAGAAATCTAGGTGCGGGCCTAACCATCAACAAATTCAAAAGTCACTTCTGCAAAACGGAAGTCAGGTACTTGGGAGTTCTTATGAACCAGGACGGAGTAAGACCAGATCCCGAGAAGATACGACCGATATTAGAATATCCAACACCCCGGACTGTCAAACATGTGAAGCGATTCATGGGAATGACCTCGTGGTATAGACGTTTTATACCCGACTTTGCCATGATCGCTGAACCTATAAACCGCTTGACTAAGAAGTATGTACGTTTCTCTTGGGAGGAGGAGCATGAGCGAGCTTTCACGAGGTTGCAGGAGGCGATGACTTCCGCTCCAATACTGCAATCACCCGATCCTAGCGATCAGTTTATACTGCAAACTGATTCCAGTGACAGTGGGATCGGGGCAGTCCTCACGCAGGATGTAGATGGAGAGGAGCGTGTAATAGAATACGCCAGCCGATCACTCAACAGCGCTGAGAAAAATTATACGGTCTCCGAGAAAGAGTGCTTGGCAATGGTATGGGCTATTGAAAAGTTCCGGCCGTACATTGAAGGGCATCACTTCAGGGTCATCATTAATCATAGTTGCCTGAAATGGCTCCACAATATGAGAAATCCCACGGGAATACTAGCGCGATGGGCGCTAGCATCGCAATGCAATGCCTTCGATATTGAATATCAAAGGGGGGATCTCAATGTGGTGCCAGACGCATTGTCCACGGCCTATGAGGAGGAGGGGATTGAAGTGAGTGCCATAAATAGTCGGCCGGAGACCACTGACGCCTGGTATATACAACAATACCAGGAAGTATGCCAAAACCCACACTCTCACCCCACTTGGAAGCTAGTGGGAGGGAGGCTGTATCACTATCAGCCTGATGAGGACGGTGAAGGGTTCATCGACAACGATGAAGCATGGAAGCTTGCGGTGCCTAGGGAGAAAATGCACCAGGTGCTCCAGGAGGTCCATGATGCTCCTACGGCAGAACATCAAGGACGAGATCGTACATTCTCCAGGGCTAGGCGCTTGTACTACTGGCCTAAGATGTATCATCAGGTCAGGGAGTACGTAAAGTGTTGCCCGGTATGTCAGCAGTGCATGGTGGAACAAAGAGCACCTTGCGGGCTGATTGGTCGTAGACAAGTGTCACGACCCTGGCAGGTGATGGCCGGTGATATCACTGGTCCATTTTCCAAAAGCTCTCGAGGTTTCGAGTACATATCAGTCTTTGTAGACTTATTTACTCGCTGGGTAGAGTGCGTTGCGATACGTAAAGCCAATGGGAGGACAATCGCAAGGGAATTATACGAGAGGATTATCACTAGGTTTGACGCGCCAGAGGTATTCTTGTCGGATAACACAGGCACACAAAAAAACCAAGTCTCTGATATTTGAACGCGACACATATATTCCCATGTCATTTGATCCGCTGATCACGAATCCGCGGTCCAATTGACCTCATGACGTCTGGGTCAAGGGCATTTGAAGGTCAAAATTGAACACACACATTTGAGTTGAAAAAATGACTAATCTTTATGTTTTTTGGGTCGCTGAATAATAATTCGAGGTCGGTTTGACCTCAAGTAGTAAAGGTCAAGGTCATTTGAAGGTCAAAAGTGTCTATTTTGGAAATAATGCATTTTTGACTGTAGATTCTGAAAGAACGGAAAATTTTACGTCCAAAACTGTATTTTTTTAATTTTTTTAATATGATCCAAAGGTCATTTCAAGGTCATTATAAGTGGTGATGTGGAGAATCAATTTAATCACTGCAAAAATACGAAAATATGATTTCCTTTACCTAAACTACTGAGGTAATATATTTTGGTGGTTGCTGGATCAGAATACGAGGTCTTTTTGACCCCATCACACCTGGGTCAAGGGCATTTGAAGGTCGAAATTGGGAAAAATATCGTTTTAGTGGAATA